ATAAAAGAGATTTTCCACTTTTAGTATCCACCGAGATATCAGTAAACTTATAGTTCAATAGTGGCTGCCGTTCCCCTCGTAAGGCCTGTTTACGCCACTTAAACCAGCCCTTCGAGCCGATACAGTAGTCGTAAGGGAGGGGCAGTTTAAACGACTGTCCATCGGTCAGCTCGTCGGCCGCCATATAAGTCCAGTGCGGGTTATTGAGGAACGCCCTACCGATGAATATAAGGGTCGCGCCGTTATCTCGCAATATATTCTCGGCAAAGTTGGGGTCCACTATTTTGCCGACAGCACAGGTAGACATTCCCGTCTCTTTCTGTATGGTACCGGCGCTAACAATTTGCTCTTCAGGTGTGTTAATGGCATTGTAGTCGATGTCGATCACGAGTCCACCGGAACTACAGTCCATAAAGTCGACTCCCAGTGCCTTAGCTGGTAGGCCAACTCAATAGACTGCTTGACATCTCAGCCCTTGTCCACGTAGTCGGCGACCGATATGCGGACCCCGAGTGCTATGTTGTCTGGAAGGGCCTCCCGGACGGACTGCGCGATTTCGACGGCTATTCGCATACGGTTTTCAAGACTACCCTCATATCTGTCGGTGCGTTTGTTGGTGACCGGGACAGGAATGTACTGCCAAGGTATCCGTGCGCGAAGTTCAACTCTATGAGCTTGGTGGAGTTTAATACAATGCTTATTAAATTATTTGCTCGTAATAAATAAACCAGTTAAAATGACTAAGTTAAAATAAAAAATATATTTTCAATGTGAATGAATAATAATTGTGACGGAAATTAATTTTATAATATTGCCGATTGTTTTGCTTCCCATTTATAGACAATTGTTATGAAACACCGTATATAACAGTTTATTAAACAATATTTACAGCTTGTTTATAAAACAATTAATTCTATTTTATAATTGCCTGAACAACTCAGCATATAGTTTATTAGTGAAATATTCAATATATTTGTACATAAAAAATATCCGGTTTTTTACATTCAACGGATAAAATAGTTATAAAAAATTATTTTTAAAATAATCATTTTGTCAAGAGTATTTTTTTTAAAAAAAAGTTTCGAATTATTTCCATTTATTATAATTATAAAATATAAACATAATGTAATACAGTACTGTATAAAATGGACCAATTTAAATGTGTTGCAATTGACCTAGTTTAAATACTGCAAATACTTCCAATATATAAATTTTCGGACAAAGAAATAGATGTTATAAAAGAGATTTTCCACTTTTAGTATCCACCGAGATATCAGTAAACTTATAGTTCAATAGTGGCTGCCGTTCCCCTCGTAAGGCCTGTTTACGCCACTTAAACCAGCCCTTCGAGCCGATACAGTAATCGTAAGGGAGGGGCAGTTTAAACGACTGTCCATCGGTCAGCTCGTGGGCCGCATATAAGTCCAGTGCGGGTTATTGAGGAACGCCCTACCGATGAATATAAGGGTCGCGCCGTTACCTCGCAGTGTATTCTCGGCAAAGTTGGGGTCCACTATTTTGCCGACAGCACAGGTAGGCATTCCCGTCTCCTTTTGTATGGTCCCGGCGCCTACAATCTGTTCGTTAGGTGTGTTAATAGCATTATAGTCGATGTCGATCATGAGTCCACCGGAACTACAGTCTAAGAAGTCGACTCCCAGTGCCTTAAGCTGATGGGCCAACTCAATAGACTGCTTGACATCCCAGCTCTTGTTCACGTAGTCGGCGACCGATATGCGGACCCCGAGTGCGATGTTGTCTGGAAGGGTCTCCCGGACCGACTGCGCGATTTCGACGGCTATTCGCATACGGTTTTCAAGACTACCCCCATATCTGTCGGTGCGTTTGTTGGTGATCGGGGACAGGAATGTACTGTCGAGGTATCCGTGCGCAATGTGCAACTCTATGAAGAACTCTAGGTGGAGTTCAATACAATGTTTATTAAATTATTTGCGGGTAATAGAATAAAACATTTCAATGTTTAGGGTCAAATAAAAAAAAGATTTGTTGATGTTGAAATCGTCTCCCGATGCCAATTTTAGACTATTGTCATAAAACACCGTATATAACAGTTTTTTAAACCATAGTTACACCTTGTTTATAAAACAATTAACTTCTATTTTATAAGAAATGCCTGAACAACTCACCAGTATAAAACTATTTATACAAAACAATTATTATTTATAGTATACTAATCATGATTACAGTTCATAGTACTATAACTAATCAACTTATTATAAAGTTATTTAATAAACTATACTATTCAATAAATAATAATGTTTGCTCTACAATCCGACTAATTGTAATTAATTATGAAAAAGTTTTTTTAATGATCCCATTTCTCTAAACATTTCGACAAAATAATCGATTCCTACATGTACATCCAAAAAGAAAACTATTGATTAAGTAGCAGATTGCTATTTCATCAAATGGATATTGATAATTTTGATAGTACAGTATTTTTCTACATAATATTACTAACAATTTCCAATAATAAAAGAATCCGAATGGCCATAATTAGTATTTTGTATACTATATAGCAAACTGTCGGTGCATTTTAAGTGCAATTTATTTATAGTGATATTGTGCCTACCTTTCCTATTACATCCAAGGCTAGTGAAGTATACGAAAGTGTGAAAAGTACAACAAGTATGTATAAGTGCACTGTGCACTGGCAGCACTGGTAGCACTGGTGGCACTGGTAGCGCTAATGCATGCTACACCGTTATAAATATTATATATTCTATCATAGTCTATGATTCATAGATATGCTAACTTAAGGGTATGTTTGTTTATTTTTTGTATTGTGCAATATAGTGATAATTTTGGTTTTATTTAGTATTATTATTTTATTGTTTATTTTATTTTTTTTATTGAAGTATCAAAATTTACGTTGAACATCTAGGGTTTATGTTAGGGAATAAAAATTATAATTATTTTACACAAATCAGACTATCAATGATTTTTGTATTTATTTCTATAAATAAATTGTGGACTTTGATCATGTGCTTTGTTCATATTTATAGTTGAGTTAAAATAATAAATTTAACATAATTTGAAAAGGCTATTAATTAAAGGTTTGGTATATTATGCTATAAATAATAATTACTAGTAAAAATGAATATAATTCTAATAAAGTTCAATTAAATCAAATATAATATTTATACCATCGTGTGCTAAAATTGGAAAACTGGCCATATTTGAAACACATTTTTATTGGACTATAAGAATTTTGTTTACAAATTTATTTTCGGGTCAATACGATAACGCCCACAAAGTTCATGAGAAAGGGCTTGGTATACGACTCGATGCCTACCAGTGCTCTGAGTCTGAGTTATTGACAGAAATTGATCGTTTAAGTGCAGAAAAGAGTTATATCTGAGAGGCAAATACCAATAGTGTATCAGAAAAAAGCTTTAATCCTAATCATTCAATATTACTCTTATGGAAGATTAAGATTAAAGCTTTTTTCTGATACACTATTGGTATTCGCCTCAGATATATATTTCAATGAAAACTGTATACATAACATAATTATTGTATTCATTGTATGCAATGTACTATTTGATACTACAATGACTGTACTAATGCAATGATTATGTTATGTATACAGTTTGCATTGAAAAATACATAACTCTTTTCTGCACCCAAACGATGGATTGAAAGTCTATTAAATAATAATGAATTGAATGAAAAACTATGACAAATATCTTTTAGAATACAATCGGATAATAGTATTGCAAAACTGTCACAAATTATTGAAAACCTTGTTATAAATGACAATAAAATATAAAAAGTTTTAGTGGTAATTTATTTAAACATTATAATTTTTGTCTTAAATAAATAATATGACTATGAAATATTATTATTTAATTTATCTGTTGAATAAACTATTTTTAATCACACTTATTTAGTTAGGTTAATAATATGTTTGTTTAAATTATTTTTATATGGTTTTACTAAAATGATTTTGTACTTATGTTCACATTCATACTTAATTATAAACTCAATTTGCACTTAATATATCTTATTATGCACTTCAAAAGTACTTAAACACTATATTGTACATTAAATATGATTGAATGGCATACATGGTAAAATATATTTATAAATATATCTACTCTATGTGCAATACTTGTAAAGTCCGTACTTAGTCGTAATATTTGCAATATTATCAAAATATAGATCAAATTGATAATAACAGCCATAGAAATCGGTTTGTTATAAAATTATTTTAAATAACTTTTGATTGTGAAATGCAATTTAAAACTAATTGTCATTAATTTAAATGTGAATATATAATATTTGAATTTTATAAACAATTTTCGATTCATTTTGTTTGATATTCTGTATATAATCACCTGGAACTAATTTTTTAATAACATCATTTATTAAATATTATACCAGTTAGGTTCGTATAAAAATAGTATATCATATGTATGTATATATTGTGAAATTTATAAAAATTTTAATTGATTAGATAATAAGATTGTGATATAAGTGATAGCACATCCCTGTCCCCTATCAATGAACAGGAAATGGATTCACCCAACACTTGATTATCCATATATTTAACTCACATCTAATTACTTTTAATTAATTCTCAATCCATGTTTTACTAAATTGTATTCAAAACCATGTTTTATTATATACTCTTAACTGTATTGTTTACCCTAATTTTGACTATTATTATGAATCATAATAATCATAGTTATGAATCATAGTAATCATAATTTATGATTACTATTATCTAAAAGTACTTTTAAACCATATTAACTGTCACAAGATAACAATGTTCATGGTGATAATTAAATCATTTGATTTCCAAGTACTATATTTCAAAAAACTATATAAACATTTTGCACACATATTCATATTTTAAACTTATTTGAAATTTGAAATTATTTTCATTTCTAATATAACTACTAAATAAACTAAATAATTACTTATTTAGTTGCTCAAGTTCAAATATGAGCAAAAAGTTGACAATCCTATTCTCGCCCCTGGAGGGCGTGGGTCACGTGAATGCGTGCGTAGGCCTGGCACAGGTGCTCATGGACGGTGGCCACGTGTGTATATTCGCCATCAGTAACCACTGGGAGGGAAAGTTGGCTAAATATGGTATCCGAGAGTATATATTAAATAGCTACAAAGTTGGTGGCGATGAGGACCCTGGCACTTACTGGGGGCGTAAGTTTTTCGAGTCCGGTCTCATTGGCGGGGGTACAGTGTTGGAAAAACGGAAAGCCGCCTGGTGCAATATTTATTCAACATTTGCCGATATTTATAAATTAGTAGACAATGACCTGGAGCGTATTATCCCTGAGATAAAACCCGATGTGATTATTGTGGATAATGTGGTCACACTGCCATCGGTGGTGAATAGCGGTATACCCTGGGTATGGAGTGTCAGCTTTAATCCCAATTATGCCAATGATAATGAAAGTCTGCCACCACCAGGATCAGGTAGATTTTTTAATACTTTAGATTTATTTAAAAATATGTATTAATAGTAGATTCAAAGTAATTAAAATAGTGATAACATTATAATATTTTTGATACAGTAAAAATAGGGACAAGGCATATCTATTATACAAATATTAATACACTAACTTTAGTACACAATAAGTTTACTATACGTAAGGTAATAAATTTAAAAATATTTAATTTCTCGGTTAGTTTTATTAAAAACATTTTTCATTTTTAATTATAAATCATACAAATAAAGGATTGCCGGCCAATGGGGATAGAAATGAATGGAAAGCCTTCCGGGAGGAGGTCTCAAAAGTCTCTCACATCGTACGCAACAAACATAACGATTATATTGTGTCAAAAGGGTTACAGGGATTGAAAAACGGGATATTTCTCAACGAATCCAAGTATTTGAATATTTATGGCTTCCCTAAGGAGTTGGACTATACGGACATCAGACCATTGGGTGACACGTGGTATCGGTTTGATAACCTCAAGCGTACGGAAAAAGAGTTGGAGTTTGAGATACCGGTGCCGTTGATGGATAGACCGGGAAAATTGGTGTACTTTTCGTTGGGATCCATGGGTGCGATAGACGTGAAGAATATGAAGAGATTAGTGACTATTTTGTCGAAATCTAAGCACAGATTCATTGTATCGAAAGGACCTCTTCATGAGGAGTATGAGTTGCCGGATAACATGTGGGGTCAAGAGTCTGTCCCTCAGATCCAAGTCCTACCGTTAGTTGATTTGGTTGTAACCCATGGAGGGAACAACTCTTTCACCGAAACCATGTATTTTGGGAAACCTATGATAGTTTTAC